CCTGCCCTTCCCCCTTTTTGCAAAGTCAAAATAAAAGAAAAAAAAAGAGAAAGAAAGACAGAGAAATAATTTATTGCCCAAAACACCTCAGAGGTTATTTACGGGTGTTTAGAAAACAAACAATTTTTCGGGGCATGCCCCTGGACCCCCTTGGCTAGTGTTATCTCGATCGGCCCCACTTTCGCCCCCCCCCCTTTTTTTGGACATTTCTGGATCCGCGCCTGAGAGTAAGGCAACATGTACAGATAGATACACTATAATGGCAAGACTTAATGTTTCTTACTTGGCCCGCCGTGAAGAATAAGCCTTGGCCCACGTTTTTTCTAGAGACGATGCTTGATCATCTCGGAAAGCACCTCCTACCCTAAGTATATTGTATTGTATTCAGACTAGATTTATTCGTAAATGGAATGGGCTACCAGTCAAAATTAGAGATTTTTTTTATGTGATAACTGGTCAAATTTTAAAAAATCATTTAAAAAATATAGGCTTATTTAATTTCTAGTCATTCTGTATTGAATAACGTTTGTATGTATATTGTAAGCTTAGTGTTGGAGTGGCACGCCTTATGGTGACAGTTGTTCTCTTAGACCTCTTTTGCCACTCCCTGGGGCATTCAAATTTGTATTGCGTTGTTTGTTTCATATTTGCCGAAATTAATAAAATAACACTTTAATGGATCTTTCTTTAAAAGAATTCATTAAATCCTGGATATAAAAGTATTTACTGAGGGTGAATTTACCAACGTAAGAAACACTCTTCTCGATCATACACGGAATGGACATTTCAGCTAAGCCCCGCCCCTTGGATATTGTTGTTAAGATCCCACAAGTCGACAGGGCGCGTTCGTGGGACAACACGCTGTTCTGATTGGTCAGTTGTTAAGTGTGATATCCGGAAAGGTCTATTGTGATGATTTCCAACACATTTGCTTTGCAATGTATTCAGTCAATTAAATTTAATATTTTGTAATACTTGTATATAATTGACAACTCTCAGAGCCAGTCTATCATATTGTTTATAGAGGAATTTCAATAATTATTCGAACAACAATGGACTTTCAAGCTTTAAAGGAGTTTTCTTTGTTTATGTAGGCCTAGGTATCGTTGATCCTCTTATGGATTGTTAGGAATCACCGCCATAATATGCCTTGAAATTGGAAAATACTTTTGGTACTTATTGCATAGTATTATTATAAATCGCCTCTATAATATCATGTCGTGTATTTGGTTAATACCACAGAGAAAATAGATTCCATTTTCTCTATGGTTAATACGTTTGGTAATTACTGCATATAAGCCTGCAAAATATGGATAAATTCTTATTTCAGATGATCACCCAATAAACAGTCGAAATATTGAAAACAATCACGACAGTGTACATTCCATTTCTTGGAGTATGTAATATTTTTTTATATCTATAGAAGGAACATTTTTAGATGGTTTTTGAATTTCTATATTTTTATGCGGTTTATTTTTTCCTGTTTTTCTTTCGATTTTAATTGTTAGGTTTCAATTTCTTTACAAATTGTAATACAGATTACTTTGAACTTAAACTTGGCTTTTAGTTTCTATTTCCTGTTTTACGGTACTGATTATGGGATGCGATCAATAGTACTTTCTGTTGTTTTGCGCCAATATAATTTGTTCCACATTCAAACTCATCAGGATGCCTCCAAATACCACATTCACAAAAATATTTTACCAAGTAGAAAGAACGCCCTCTATAATACACGAAGTGTTGGTAATGTGGGGAATCCCCTATCATAGAGGCAGTTATAAAAGAGACTTTGTCATCTATAAAACATATTTATCTCTAATTAATTGGCGTTTAAATAATACTATTCTATACTATCCTATAGTCTTTGGATATTATTTATACCCTACAATTTCTGAAAGCAAATTTAAAGTCTTCAGTAATAAAATTTCTACAAACCATTAAAAAATCTGCAATTTATCAAAAGATGACAAATTCATAAATTTATAAATGTAATTCTATGAGCATTTCAAAATGTGTAATGTATCTGAATAATTCATAGAGGAGCGGAACCAGGAATGTGTAAACTTGGAGCACCAGAACAAAGTGAGACGTGCTAGCGTGGGTATTCGAAGATAGGAAGTTGAAAAGGGATTGCCCGCACCCTCCCGAAAAATATGCGTGTTCAGTTTATCCTGAAAATACTTTCAATTATATATTCCATTTCAAGTACTTACTTGTAAAAATAAAATAAAATAAATTTATACATAGGCTGAACCAGGATTAATGCCTGACACTTCTCAGCACACCATCACAAAGCTTAAAAAAATGTACATCAGACTAAATGGCTTTTATTCTGTCCACTGATGTCATCCGACTCTTGTTTGTCGTCATGTGTATGAAATGCGCGTTTCCTTTTAATTTTTGTTTGCAGCGCTTTATTTTTGGTTTGCTGGTGATTTTTGTTTTTGTTTGCAGCGTTTCTTTTTTCTTATCTTTTTTTTTTTGCATTTTTGTTTTTTTGTTTGCAGCATTTCTTTTTTTGTTTGCAGCATTTCTTTTTGTTTGCAGTGTGTCCCTTATGAGCCATCGTAGAAATTCAACCGGAGAAAAGAGAACACATGCTAAAATCAGCTCTCACTCTAATGCTGGATCTAAAGCTACAAATATTCAAAATAGCCAAATGAATTGTGAAAACCATCAGCCCTGAGGAAATCATACAGTTTGATATTTATTCAAGTATAAAGACATATACAATTACAAACAAAGAATATAAAAGTAACGACATATACAAAAATATAGTATCTATATTATTATGATTACTATTATTGCTACAATTCTAATAAATACAGAAAAGCGGATTTGTGTAGTGTCATATTCTGTAAACATTTAATTTGATTTCTTTTACTTCTCGACAAATTGTGCTTAGAACCTTGTGGCCCAGTTCGACCCAAAGGGAAAGACCTGCCCTCCCCCGAATCTCGGCGCCCCTTTCCCGCTGGTCTACTAACTGAACTTTGTATGTTTAAATTGATGAATGAAATTTTCTTGTTTCCTGTATCTTTTGCTTTTTGTCAAACATAGCTGGAAACTCTTTAGAAAATGATTAAATTCACTATTATTTTTTTAGACTTTCATTTAACACAATTTTTGTTGGCAAATTGTTTGCTTTTTTTGGTATAATACTTTTCCGAATAAATTATATATGAAATTAATTAACAATAATAATTAATAAGCAAACACGTAAGCAATACACAATAATATGTAATAAACAAATAGAACAAGTAACTAACTTGCAATATTTATTTGTTTACTTTTGTGTGTGCAAATATTTTTAATAGTTAAAACAAAATATATAGTCCTGTTTATTATTTGTGATAAAGTGTGTGTAATGTAATTAAGCTTCACAAATATAAGTACAAATTACCAGAGGTCAACCATTCAATATATTATTTATTTCATATTATATTCTCAAAGTATTAAATAAAATACAATTAATTATATCCAATAGTATAAATATAGTGAAGATTTTAGAAATATGATTCTAAAGAACCGTTTCATCTGACGTCACAAGTCCAGCAATGACTGCCACCTCCTAGAGAACCAGCGAAACGCAAATCAACCTTGATGCATATTCCATACCAAGTTTCTCGAAAAGTCTTTGCGTAGGAATTTCGTTTGCATCTACAACCACCCGGTTATGGTCCAACATCAGAACATTCATTGACAGCCATGTTGAAGAAAGCCACATCGGGTGATCTGCAAAAGGTGCACAGAAGAAAATATTATAGAAATATAATTGTATAAATTACACTGAAATTTGTGTTCGTTTTATAATAATAATAATAATAATAGATGGATTTATATAGCGCAAATAAACGAGGTCTCTATGCGCTAGACAATAATGAAGTCAAGAACACAAAGAAAAAAGCCGGGAAAAAAAAAAAACCACCAAGCTAGCACCCAAATCGAAGTATGGGGTTACACCATCACCGCCAACTGGAGATCAGTTTTTATGTACTCCGGTTAGCATCGGTTAAGTCTTGATCTTTTCTGGGATCAGGTGCCTCCTAACCTGGAACAAACAACACTAGCTAGCAAGGTGAAACAGATAAAAAGAAAAAAAGAAAAGAAAACAGTAGCTATAAAGAGGCAAATAAAAAGGTTTTGAGTCGCTTATTAAAGATGTCAATTGACGCTGATTCACGGCGATATTGACTGAAACAGATAATGATGGCGCTGACACTGTACTGTACTGACCATAGAAAATATTATGATAATGTAGCAATGACGTTCACTGCAACAAGGATGGCAACGAAAAAACGACAGCAACAGCAAAAGACACAGCACAGTCAAATCAATCACAGCCACTGTCATAACCACAACAACAATCATAATACGATCATAATATCACTTCTTCTCAAGTTTCTTCTTCAAATTCTCAAAATCATTATGAAAGTTACAAGAGCAATTTGATTTGATTTTGAATTGAATTTATTCAGCAATCAGAGTAAAATACAAAAACAATGAAGACAAGACAAGGAAAAGCAAATACAATTGAAAACTCTGAAAGCAAGAAATAGCCCATAAAGGTTTCAAAGAAACGTATTTCCATTGGAATCCTGCAAACGAAACATTCAATTGCTAAAAGGAAGAACAGCAATAATTTTTTTTTAAAAAGGATTATTTACAATTTGAAATTAAGACAAGATAAAAAGATCAACAATTTCAAAATGTAAAAACCAATAACAATATGACTGGCTTCTAAAAAGTCTTTACAAGGCATATTCGGATATAATTCATCATTATATTCATTTGATATATCTTTTAATATATCGCTTGGTGTTACTGGATGAGGTGCCTCAACGACATCCCACCCAGCCTTTGAGAACAGCTCTATCTGATAGCAAGGTCTTTCTGGGTTGACTAAAACCAGACCAGGTCTCAATAAGCACAGGGACGCATCTATATGCATCGGAGCATCGTAGAA